ACAGTGTTCGTGTGGAGCACCGTATTGATGGTGGGTTGCTGAACATCCTAGTCTGTGAGATAACTATCCGTAGATTGCTGTTCGCTGACGACTGCGTTGTTTGCACACTGCGCGGATGAGTTGCAGTCAGCATGACTGATGCTCTGTCTGCGACAGCGGCTGAATTCGGGCTTACCATCAACACGTGCAAAACTGTCTGTCTCTTTTAGCCTTCACCGGAGGTGCAATCTGCAATGGGGCCGCAAATCAACATTGGTGATGAAATGATGGAAACCACCTCCCGCTTCTGTTACCTGGGGAGTGTGGTTTCGACTGACCAGCAGATACACAGTGAGCTGCGTACCGGAGGCGGCGGCGGCATTCGGGAAGCTTGAGTACCGAGTGTGGAACAACCATCAGCTTACCGTTGGCACGAAGCTGATGGTGTACAAATCCATGGTGCTGTCCTTTCTTCTATACGGCAGTGAAACGTGGACGATGTACCGGCGGGATGTGCGATATCTCGAGCGGTTCCATCAGCATTGTCTGCGACGGATTTTACGCATCGGCTGGGGCGACAGAGTTGCAGACATGGAAGTGTTGCGCCGAAGTGGGATGTATGCAGTGCACTGCATACTTTTAATGAGACACCTGAGGTGGATCGGTCATGTGAGCCGTATGGATTCGACGCGGATACCGAAGCAGCTATTATATGGTCAGCTGAGTAGTGGGAAACGGCACGTGGGGAAACCAAAGTTACGTTACCAGGACATGATCAAAGTGAGCCTCTCACGTTCTGATGTTGATTACAGATCATGGGAATCGAAGGCGTTTGATCGGCGTGCATGGCACGAAGGCAGTTGCCGAGGTGCAAGGGAAATCCCTCGTGCATGCGGAGTGGAAGCGACAAGTGCGGAATCGGCAGGCGCCGCTGCATTTTACTCCATCGACGTCGAGCGCATGGTGCTGTAGCACATGCTGTCGCGAGTGCCTGAGTCAGGCAGGCCTAGTGAGCCATGAGCGAGGCCACTCAGGAGCAACATCGGTAAGACGAAGGGTGCTGCTGAAAACGTAAGCAGAACGGGCACAGCATTGGTAGGTACGCTGCATCGATTTACTAACAGCGTGCTTGCGTACTGAGTTTCTTTATTTCAAGGGATCTGTTTGCTATGTTTTGTTAATGCCTACTTTGGTAATTCATTTAAATGTCTGTCTGGATAAGGTTCTTTTTACTTACACACGTCGCTTAAACAGAATATTTGTTAAACTGGTTAACTTTTTCGCGTTCGTGGCATTTTTAATAAAAATATCTTTTCTAACACCTTAAACTTATCGCGGATTTGTTGATAACCAGTCTATTTCATATGCTGATTTGGCGAAGTTACGTCTGCATTTCCGTATGCTTTATTCGATAATTATTATTTGATCTTACCATTTCAAGTGATTGGCTTTTGTTTGACACCTCTGGTGTGGCTGCGCTTGTTGTGCATGTTGACAATGTGCCCACCTGTCTAACACCCTCCACCTCGATTACTGGCTCCAGGAGACAGATGATCGTTACTGGAGGGGACGAGATGCACGGTCCTCTTGGTCGTGTTAGGCTCGAAGGGTGGTTCTATGCACTCAGTATAGAGCGGACTACGGTCCAGCCACCGCCTTGTGTGCGCTTGATTCCCAAATACAGCCTGCTTATGTTTGCTCGTGAAGAAGTGTGGGCCTGCTCCGTTGACGCAACGTGGCTCCCATCCACATGCCTCCTGGTCTTATTTCTTCGGGTTCACACTGGATATGGGGTGTGTGGGTGGTGCAGCACAGGCCATCCATGGTCCCTCCGTAGGCACAGGCGTCCTGAGGCTGGCCACAGTGACAGACAAATCCGAAACCATGTGCCACCAACCATATCGTTGGCGGACCGTAGTCCGCATGCCCCACAGGGCAGTGGTTTGTTTGGAGGTTTGCTTGAGGGATTCCGTCCAGACCCTTTGGCTCAATAGCCTGAGGAGGAGACCCAGCTCGGGAATGTGATTGCAGAGACAGATTGGGATCTGCTTGACAGCCGTCACACGTAGCCTTTAAGGTACTGGAATGAGTCATATATGTTTTGCGGCCGTAGTAGAATACACCTGCGACCATGGCCAGACGCAGGTAGGTTTTGGCGGGTTTGCACCAATTTGACCAGGGGCTGACTGGCTTGCGGCGAGCAGTAACAAACCATTGAACATCCGGAGGTGCCCTCCCACCGTCAGAGACGATGCGAGGCGCTCGTGCTCTACACCAACCGAACTGTGAGGTTAGGTTTTACGGGAAGAGGGCCATCGACCATTTCCTAACCTCCGAAGAGGATGGACTAGGATACTGGCTGGGCGTCCACATCTGACAGGAGAACGACTCGGGTCTTCAGCCAAAGCCTTCGATTAAATGAACACTCGAAAGGCAGCGGGTCTAGCAAATGGTCAGTTCACTGACTCATGCGGATTGGTGTCATGGATGTTAGCAGGGAGAAGGGGGTAATCCAACTACCACCCAGCGGTGGCTACGAGGATTCGTCCGGCACATGAGCCAATGGCACAACAGTAGCAGCAGTAGGTAGACCATCTGTCACGATCGAGCCACCACCAGCCTCAGCGCACCATAGGCTCTCCCACTGCGTATATATATATATATATATATATATATATATATATATATATATATATATATATATATATATATACGCGTCCGCTTCAATTTCCAGTCAACTAGAGGACTTTACGCCGTCTGAAATCAACCGCTAAATCGTTCTAAAAGTCGAACTCGTTCGAGATGATCTTCGGAATATCTACTTAGATCGTCCTATTGCTGGTAAAACGAATGCTTTCATCGTCAGGCGAAACTGTGTCGCCCGCTTTGTTCCTTTAAGCACCGGCCATCACGTATGGGCGACAGATCTTGTTGATCGCCACAGTCGCTTTTTCTTCCTCCCCGACCGCGAAACGGAAGTTCCCTACTCAGTGGCCAAAGCTAGCGTCCTTCCTCGCGATAAGAAAGACCCTAATTAGAAGTCGATTATTTTATTGCGACCAGCCAACAACACTACGATTCACATGTATGGTCAACGCTCGCGCACGCTTAATTTGAACCTACGTCATTCCTCTAAATGGACTCTCCTCGTCGCAGATGTTCGAACGCCAATTCTTGACATTGACTTTCTTTAGAACTTCGACTTGCTTGTTGACGCGACGCAACGCACTCTGATCGATCGTCACGCGAATCTGCCGCTTATATGCACTTTGACCGACATTGAGTCACTCTTGAATGCGCCAACTAGTCGAGCTCAGCTTTGATCAGATGTTCCTCAGCATCTTTCCCCAAGTCTTCCACGCAACAGCACCGTTGCCATCTGCTATTGACGCTGCAAGGCATCACATCGTCATCAAAGGTCCGCATGTTTTCTCTAAAGCCAATTGAATGCTCTCCAACAAGTCGAAAATTGACCGCACAGAATTCCAGCTTGACATCTTTCGCTCATCAAAGAAGCCCGTGGGATCACCGCGATGCCCTAAAAGGCAGGAGACTGGCGTCTGTATGGCGATTATCGCGCGCTGCTGAAGAGGACCAGGATGCACTACTTATATTCTGCCCCATTTTATTGACTGTGCTGTAATTCTGAGGTGCGCTTTTTCTGCGTTACTGCACTTTTCACTTCAGGGCGGCCATTACTACAAAATCAAAAGATTTGGCGGCAGGATGAACTCTTGGTTTTTCCACTTTTTCACAGTTGGACTATCACAATTACTCCTACGATCACATTAATCTCTTCTCTCGTTTATGTGGAAACTTAAGTTCAGTAAATATCAAACCTGCTTGTCCAATTAATCCTGATCATGCCTTGTATTTTTCTAGCTAGGAGTGCTTGATGCCAATGGTGATGCTTTGGATGCGTTGTTTACGAGCGGTTTTTATTGCAGCTAGTGATGAATTCATATCTTACTCTAGAGTGTTCTCTACTGCTCTCACGAGGCACTTATTTGGTCATACAATTTGCATTCGGAATGCAACGTGCACCGAAACGGTCGTAGCAGTCTGACTCGTGTGTTGCGTTTCGATTTTTGTCTTCACCGACAAAAAGGTGTGTTCGTGTTACATGAACCAACTTCACGACAGCTTCACATTCACTCATTGTCGATATCTCGCAAATACTGCTGCTGGTTCGCTGCATAGTTTTTGGGTATGCACAAGGGTCCGTTGCGATCAGTAACCGTGGAACGTGACTTCGCTTCTGAACACTCGCCATCCAACTTGTCTTTGTGTAGCCGCTTTTGCTTGTGGTTTATCTTAACGCCATCGGCAGTAGCTATTCAGTATGCTGTATAAATGCTTCATTACTCTTATGCTTTCCGCCTAAATGGCTTATCGACACCACATGGACAGTATTCTGTATTCTGATTTGAAGAAGCTCTTGACTGCCCCATTTGGTCTACAGTTGTATCCCAAAGAAATGCCCATATTCTCAACCGATTTTCCTCTCAGGCCTCTGATTAAGGGTTTTTCCCCATGATTCTCCATTTCAGTAAGGTAGTCCTGCTCCACCTTCACGTTGTGATACCTTTGACCTTGCGAATGCGGCCATTGACTGATTGGTATGAAGCATCCGCCTTGTAATCTACGGTCGCAGGTTTGGATCTGTGTTGGTGATGATGATTATCGCATGACAGTGAAGCGTCCGTGTGGCGCGCCGGTGTACAAATAACGTCCCGAACTTGTAATAGGTGTTATAACAGGAAGCACTGCATTGTGTTACGAACTTAGAGTTTACCGTAGCTTGTTTGTTTTCGTAGGCCATCTAGAACCGTCCGCGTATGTTTCACAAATTTTCCCTTCATCCTCAAGCAACCCTTATTAATTTGCGTAACAAAGTATTTCCGTAAGATTGACCAGTACCAGCTTCTTACCGCCCTATGTGATGAGTTGTATCTCCTCTTTCTGTGCATAAAGCAATGAAATCTTTCCAGCTTACACACTCTTTTCTTCCGTCTCTATAGCACAATGGGCTGATTCGGCTGAACTGATGAAGGGTCATTGTAACACAAACAGTGGCAACGTGTTCTTCACCTCTCTCGTCGCATTCGCTCAACAACTATGGGCCACCGATAGCCTCGGTCGCCTATATTCCACATCCATTCGTCTAGCACACAAACGGGGATCAGAGGCCACAATGCTGTTACATCCGCGCTGGACGTTGCATTCATCAAGTAAGTGTCTATCGATTCTCTTCCTATCAAGTTTCGCCATCCTCTGCTCTATGCGTTTCGTGTCCCAATCCGGACACAGAACAGGTACTCTAGGATCCAACAATGAACTCCTAACCGCTGCCTACGGAGCTCTGGTTGGGTGAGCAAGGCGTAGGCCATCCACTACTGTATGTCCGGTTCCCCTCATAGCTCAAGCTATCTGTAGCTGACGAGTACGAATCAGGACGAAACCAGTCGGTCGTCGAATGCAGTGTTGCGAGTGAACAGCTCCAAAACCCCTCACTTTGGATGCAGTCCCAGTGATCGAAATGGCATAGGCTTGCTTCAAAGGAAACTGTAGCCTCCATCGAGATTGCGTGTCGCAATCCATCCGCAAGGCGGCTACTCCAAGATCCAACAATGTTCTGTGTGTTTTGTTCACAGGAAGTTTTGTATCTCCTACCCCCCTACCTCATCACTGTTATAGGAACAACAACCAAATATCTTGGTTTTACTTCAAGTAACAACTGCAATTCGCACACCGGAAGGCGGTGGGTCCAGTTTCTATGGCTTACGCCACCACACTAAGTATAATAACTGCGGGGAAGATATTCACGTGTTAACTACAATATAAAGAAAGGGGATTTTTAAGAAAGGGGACAGGGTTAATTATTATAGAAATCTAACCTATGGATATAAGCTGTCTAACGCCGGCGCGTATACTTCGGTTCGGACGAAATTTCCAAGCACGTGTGCATTTGATCCTAAGACCGTCACCCAGTTCATTGCGTTAAACCCTAGATAATCCGTGCAATACCTCGTCCTGTATGTAACCAATGTATTTAGCCATCGTAAATAAGTTTTTCAGCTCGCTTGGTGGTTATGGTGCCGGCTCATAGTCTCAAGGATCACAAGCCTGCTTTGTATTCTGAAGGCGCGAGTTCAAGTTTGGGTAGAGGACCGCGCGACCCTTGCAGTATCCTCAGCCCACATGGTTGCGCGGCAGCAAAGCGTCGGTACTGCGTATCGGCGTCCTGCGGATGCCTTGGAGACGAGTGCTCGCAACAAGCCGAAGATTACTTGCGATGCGTTAGAAATTATCAAGGTTGATAACTACGTGAACAGAACGGACGGGATGGAGCTATCAGGCACGCGACACGCTGTCTTAACCCGGTCATTCTGAACAGGGTCGGCGGTCAAATTTAGTTTGGAGCGAACTTCGAATTATCTTCACTGGAATCAACAGCAACAATAATACTAGTGTCTTACATGTGAATGACTAGTGGAGCGGGTCAGTTGGGTATGTTACATAATTCTTGTGCTACTAGAATGACACCTTGACCCAATGAACGGTAACCACAATTATCCACTGACTCGGGTTATTTTTCACAATCATTATCTTAATTTGTTATAGAAATGGACCCAGTTACATCTTGTTCTCCGGGCCTAAAGACACTCGTGTGTCAAGAGCGAAACGCAACCGCTATACAAGCGTATACAAAAAAGATTTGTACTGTAAAACCTGTGGTTATGAATTTCCAGTCGCTCACCGGCTTATTCAGAGATATTGGATGCTTTATCGATCGCATTCAAATATATTTACCAAAAGGTTGTGCTAGACACTGCAATGAACCTTTTGTGCCTCTTCAGTTAGAGGTCTATGAGAGACTGACGTTCTCTTGCACCACATTTACTTAACTTCCTCACATCATCTACGGGAACAATTTCTTCTGCTTTCAGGCTAATTACAATCTTTTTAACGAGATCGTATCACGAAAGCAATTCACTGTGGATGACTACTGTTATTCTCTTCCGTTCGTTAAAGCTACTCCGGACGACCCCCATCCATCCGTTTCGGAGATATTCTTTTTGTCCATCGGAGGCGCTGATTGGCGATCACACGGTTTGGGTCTCAGTCGCTGGGCTGTGGGCCTGCCCATGAATGAAGCCATCAAAAACAAGGCAAGTTCCCGTCTTACTCAGTCTACGTCCGGACCGTCATTGTGGGAACCCCTACCCGGTTTCGTGTATGCCAGGTGTTGGGCCTCACACAGCGACACTCATTCGTGGCTACGCGTCGCGGCACCGTTGACAGTAAGGTTGGTCAACTTTCTAGCCTGTATCTCGCATCCTTTTTCCTATTTTCTGTTTGTTTTTTGTCTCCAGCTGCATTTTCATGGCTCCTAGAACCGCATTTCGTGGTCATTTTGTCACTGTTTTACCAATTAACCGGAGTTAACTTACCTTCGTGTATCGGATCGAGGCCTTGCTGTTGCATGGCGAGTTCTTTCCTACTGCGTTACCGAAATCCGCATGCGAGAAGCTTGGAAGTACTCGTCGTCCATCAAATTCTCCTTTATTGCGTGTCGGCATTTTCCTCTTTTGTCTGCGGTTAAGGAAGTTTGAACTTGATAATTTTATGTTGTTTGCTAGCTTCACTATAGTCAGACTCTTGCAGAGCTCAGATCAACCGACCAGCTTTTATTCTCGTACGTCTTGTATAGTTGCTAACGATGTGATCAATCCAAATCCAGAGTGGTATCTCGTTAAGCAGGCGCTGCGATGTGACCCCATGTGCTGGAGGATGGTACTGCTGGTGTATGCATTGTAGATTGTAGACAACTGCGGTCTTTTGTAGGTCATTTCGGTTGTACAATAGCACGGCTGATGTAGTTTTCTCCTCGTCGTCGATGATGACAATGAGAGCTGCATGGGCGAAATGTAGACGTCGCAACATGCCACATGTGAACAGTAGTTTTCGGTCTGTCATGAACTGAGCCATGAGTCGACCTCCGTTAATGCATCAAGTTTTGTTTCTTTCTACTGCCTAAGGAAGTGCTGGCCAAAAATCGGTCAGTCGGATGCATGCTACTCTTGTTGTGTGCTGATCTTTCTGCCTCTCACTATCGAAACGAGTGGTCGGAACTTCGTTCTGTTCTCTACATGAGGAGTCCTAATAAGTGTGGATAGGCACTGTTTGTCAACATTTTCCAATGTGCTTCCTGATCCGGCACTGCGGCGAGTGTCCAAGTTTACTCAACCTTCCTCGACAGCAATCCAACTTCCATTACACATGACTTCGCCCGGTGTTCTCCTTTCGACCTCTTGACTTTTACCGTTCTGTCTCGGTCAAATGTTCGTCATTTTTGATACTTTGCATCTTACTGTTGCGGCAAAACGAGCCGGTATTTTATCTACTGGTGGGTGTCGCTGCCACACATGACGATAAGCAATCGTTGCATCTTCCTTACGATTACTCAGCTGTTATTTGGTCATCACCCGTGCCACCGCAACGAGACTGAACCTTAACTTGGTGCGATGGTTTGCGTACCTCCATGTCCCATTGAGCTACGTTGGGTTGCATTTTCCAAGTGCCTCCAGAGTCACTCATATCATGCAGATCAATGGTTAGGGGTCAGACTAGCCCAGTATCGCAATCCAGTCCTCTTCGGAGGTTTGGAAGGGGTCAATGGCCATCTTTCTTTAAAACCCAGCCATGAAAGACAACAGACTTACGGATTATGAGCTCACAGCTCGATTCGCGTAGAGCACTAGCGCCTGCATTTTCTGGTGGTGGGAGGGCACCTTCCGGTACTTAGTGGTTTGCTACCGCCCGCCTCAAGCCAGGCAGCCCCTGATCAAATTGGTGCAAACCCGCCAACTCTCACCTGCGACTGGCCGTGGTCGCAGGTGCGTAATGTACTACGGTCCTAAAAATACGTGTGCACCGTTCCAAATCTGCAAAGGTTGTGTGTGACAGACCTCAAGCAGATCCCATTTGGTCTCTGCAATCATACTCTCGAGCTGGACTTGTTCGCCACTGCATTGTGGGTCAGGCTATTGAGCCAAAGGTTCCGGATGGAGTCCCTCAAGCGAACCTCCACATCCCCCGCTGCCTTGTGGGTCAGACTTTTGGGTCAAAGGCTAGAGGTAGGTCACCTCGAACAAAACCCCTCTCTCGGAATGGGCAGCCTGAGAGTATGATCGGCTCTCTCGACTCCGTCCACAATACTCCCTCTTGTTTTTCTCCCCTCTCAACTTTTTTCTTCCCCTTATATTGAATAAGAGACTGTCACTGACCTTAGAACTGCTGCCATCGATACATGTAGCTCTTCCATCAAACCTGGTGTTTCATTTCATATTGGTTCTTTTAATGTCCGCACTCTAGCTCAAATCGTCCAACCAACAGCACAGGCTCTGACTCTTCACTCACTTGGTATCGATGTGTGCTGTATCTCCCAAATACGCATACAAGATAACAGCGTTGTGAAGAATCCTCGGCCCCCTGGTTCTTAATATGACGACGATGATTACACTCTTCGCGTTTCCAGTGTTACTGAGTCAATGACTCATGGTATTTAAGGTGTTTTTATCGCCCTCAGCAAATATGCTGAAAGCAGTCTACTCAACTCTGAACAGCCGCATATGTGCGGTTCGATTTCGAACTTCTATTGGAGTTAGTGAACACTGTTTGAACACAAAGTGCTTTTTCATTGTCTCCGTTTATTCCCCCCACTGACTGCAGTTCAGAGGGTGTCAAAGGTGCTTCTCGTGATCACCTCTCCTCTCTTCTTCGCATGGTGACAAATGCTGACATCCTGCTTGTTACTTGTGATATACATGCTCAAGTAGGTCTTCTTTCAGACTCTGGACAACACCTGAGAGGTCGCTTCGGAGTCAATGCACCCCGAACAGACAATGCTGATCGATTCCTGCAACTGTTATTGAGAATACCTGTAGCTCGAGGTATGGGTGAGAGGGTTGATGTCTTCTTCGGGCTGGGCAATTTTGTTGCAGACGTTTCATTGCCAAGCTAGGCAACATCCTTAGTGCGGCTATTAGGGTCTGGTTCACAAAGCCTCGTAAGTCACTGCCAGATCCAAGTGAATATTGTTCGTCTCCTGTTTTGAATGTCAGTCTTCGATTGGCTCACGTGAGTCGGTCAAGTAGTCGCTTCTTCCTCCCGTCGATCTGGCACTTGTTGTCCTCACCTCAGAGCTTCGTAGTCACCCTCTAGTTCTAGGTGCTTGTTGATTGGGTTCCGGCCAGAATGCCAGGCTTCGATGAACTCACGTGCTCTGTGGATCGTCGCTCTTCCAAGTATCTTAACGTTTCCCAGATCCAACTGATGGCCTTCGGCATCTCTACGTGCTGATATTAATGACTTTTCATCATGGCGGTGGATGTCTAGACTGTGTTCATGCAGTCTTGTACCAAGTTTCCTCCCTGTCTGGACCACGTAGTAGTTGTCGAAATTTTTGCAGCGAATTTTGTAAATCACACCCGATGTTTCTTCTTTACTCAGCTGATCCTTTACCCTAAAAAGTTTACTCCGAACGATTTCCGTTCACCAAATTGGAGGAGTACAATGACCAGTTGCCATTCTTGGACGTGCTCGTCAAAAGACATGCTTCCGGGCCCCTAGAAACAACAGTCTATCGAAAAATCACTCACACTGATAAGATCTTAAACTATTGCGATAGCCACCCGGCCATTTACAAACACAGTTGCGTCAGGACACTTTTCAAACGGCCAAAACACACTGTAGCACGCTGCAACTGAGGAAAGCGGAGGAAGACCACTTATTTAACATGTTTCAGCGGAATTCGTACCCTAAAAGTTTTATTATACGCTGTCTGATGTGGAAGAATCAATCACAACCCTCTTCCACCAGCGCAACGGAAAGGAAAACCATCGTCCTACCTTATATTTATGGGATTTCTGAAATGACAGCGGGATCAACGTTGCACATGAAGCAACGCAAACCGTTCGGAGTAAACTTTTTAGGGTAAAGGACCAGCTGAGTAAAGAAGACACATTGGGTGTGATTTACAAAATTCGCTGCAAAAATTGCGATAAGTACTACGTAGGCCAGAGAGGGAGGAAACTTGGTACAAGACTGCATGAACACAGTCTGGCCATCCGCCGCTATGATGAAAAGTCATTAATATCAGTACCTATAGATGCCGAAGGCCATCAGTTGGATCTGGGAAACGTCAAGATACTTGGAAGAGCGACGAACCGCAGAGCACGTGAGTTTATCGAAGCCTGGCATTCTGGCCGGAACTCAATCAACAAGCACCTAGAACTAGAGGGTGACTACGAAGCTCTGAGGTGAGGACAACAAGTACCAGATCGACGGGAGGAAGAAGCGACTACTTGACCGACTCACGTGAGCCAATCGAAGACTGACATTCAAAACAGGAGACGAACAATATTCACTTGGATCTGGCAGTGGCTTACGAGGCTTTGCGAATCAGACCCTAATAGCCGCACTAAGGATGTTGCCTAGCTTGGCAATAAAACGTCTGCAACAAAATTGCCCAGCCCGGAGAACACACCAACCCTTTCACTATCTCCTGAGTCCTACACGACAAGTGGGATTTGCTGAGGTTGTCCTATGTCGCATTTTACTTACTTTGCGATCGGAGTGAGCATGAATGACTCTGTTCTTTCAGACTCTACCGGAGTGGAACTTCAGCCAGGTGACCGACTGATAAATTTGAAGTATGCGGACCAAAATGCTCTTCTCTTGCCCGACGCAGTGGCTATGCAAACACTACTAGTTAGACTGACATGTAGCGCCTTACGCTTCAGCATGTGCTTTGTTCCTTCAAAGTGCAAAGTGCTGCTGCAAGACTGGAGCGACACACCCTCGGTTCTAGCTATCACTGACCAGCTACTGGAAGTAGTGTATCGGTTCACTTACCTTGTTAGCTGTGTTACCTCTGGTGATCACATCACTGAAGAGGTTACTTCACGTATCAGCAAGGCCCGTGTGGCTTTCCAGAGGCTCAACCATCTATTTATTTATTTATGGAGATGGCGGGATAACAGCCTGTCAGTGAAAGGTAGGGTGTATAGCTCTGCGATAAGGCCGGTCTTACTTATGGTTCAGAGACCTGACCAGTTGGCGATGAAGACATCGAAGTATTGCTCACGTCTGATCGGAAAACCGGTTGTGCAGTGCTAAGGTCGGCCGGTTGGTTTTTGGAAATAAACCTTCTGGTGCCTCACTCGAGTTTTGCTGAATGTTAATCGCTTTCGTTGGCTAGGCCATGTTCACCGTATGCCCGTTGATCTTCTTCCTCGGCGTACGTTATACAACGTGGCTGCACCAACTTGGGTGAAACCGCAAGGTGGCCGGTTCATGACGTGGCATAGTGACATTAAGAAATTGACTGACTTTGTCAGGCTGGACGGCAGCCTCGGGATGGTCCACACCATTGGTTATCAACTGTATCTGGCATTGCATAGTCACGCAGTCATTGGCGTTCCTGCATTTGGTTTCTTGCATCTTTGTTAGTTTTCGTTCCATTCTGATTGGGTTAACGCATTTCCTTTTTCCATTTTCTCTCCATGATATTTGTTGCATCCAACCCCACTATCCTACCGTTGTTATTTATTCTTATTCTTACGACGTGAGTCGTGGCAACTGGCTCTATCGTACTCCGCTGCTCCGATCATACTTGTTCAACTGAACTGAACATCACGCATGCAGTTTTTCGAGATCATTTATCCCTAGGCACCCTATGTGCCTACATACTTTACTGAGACTTCACAACACTGTATTCGTTCTCGTATAATGGAATCAACATGTTTTGTGCACCTGTCTGAATTCCATGGAATTCTTGTGACTTGCTCGACTTTTTATGCGTTATGTGATTTGCACCTACTGACCTGCTTCTGTGGTCGCTTTCTGCTCGCCTTGTCGGCCTGAACTTGGTACCACCTGGTTGCGACGCATACTAATGAGAGATCGAACCTTGATGTAGTTCTGTTACGTGCACGTCTTTCCCCTTGTCAATTCAGACAGTGGCGACCGCATTGTTGTGTTAATAATGAATCGCAACGTACGTCGTTTCCCTCTCGTTTCTGTCTACGGTGCACCCATCTAATTCGCTCCGGAAGGATTGCTTTTACCCTGACTGTCGTTTCTCAGTGTTGCCTTACTGAATTGCTGCACACATCTCTTGATGTTTTTCTCAGTAGTCGATACTCCTACTTCGTCCATTGATATACTTCTCACTAGTAATTTTCCTCCACTTCTGCTTACGAGACTAGTACCTACGCAACTGGTCTCATCAGCATAATCAGCGAACATAGACGTATCAAAAGTAATCCTCTGTCTCTTTGCTTTTTGGAATTTTCTTGAGACGACGCTACTCGTTTCTCTGAAAGTTTAGGGTCCGGTGCTCGCCTCTTCTAGTGATTACGCGTTCAGGGCATTTGCTCAGCTCCCATTGCTTTGGAGGTGCTATTGTTCTCCTTTGCTTCATTTTCTTTCTCGCTCGTTTCTTTCTCTATTACTTAGGTAATCCGATTTACCGCGGTATTTTTTGGCCTCGATACCACAGCTTATCTCTCGAGGTGCTGGTGTTTCTCGTGCTTTGTTTGCCCATTCGATATCTTCTAGTTGTATAATATGATGATAATTTGTTCTGCCTTCACAACTGGCTCCTTTGTATGGGTTTTTCAGGCGTTGGTTGCTTTCCATTTAACCAAGTAAATCGGCTATCCATGTGGTGCCATAGAGTGGAGCTCACTTGCTACCCACACTCGAGGGACTTAAGGTGACTTGGGTGCTAGTTGCTATTTTTCTCTTAAATTTCCCCCAACTTCCGCAGAGACAACATGGTGGTCCACACGGCAACTGTAATCAGCCTGGCGTCCTTATGTCCAAGGGTTAGTACCTAACTGTGTTACTGTGTACCTGTGTTAAATTCCGGCTCTCCCATATCGTACGGTTGACTTTTCATAGCATTGCAAGTCACCATCTTGTTCACCAACTATCTACTAATCTCGTCATCTCTTCCACTCACAAGTATACGTGTCATCCTCTCATGGTACATTTCCGCCCTGTCTATTTCCCTACAGTATTCATGTACTCGATGACAACATTTGGCTTTTGTCCTCCTCCAACCCGCGACAAATCCTCCTTCGCCGAGGATTGTTATCCAATTATCATCTGGACCCGTCCGCCAACCTCCCAGCCCCTTCTGACACTCAAATTGGCACTGGATGGTTGGTTGTTCCTCAACCGGATCCGCTGTCGTTCAGTTTTAATTTGGATAGTTTTTCAGTCTGTACAACTGTCGACGCTCGCTCCCAGCGGCACACGACGCGAGCGGTGGTCATTACGAAAACGGGGGAACTACTATCCCTTGTACTCAGTAGTTCAATCGCGTTTGGAGACGATTTTGCCTAGTCTTTCCTGGCTTGAGAAGTCGGTTGTTAGCGTGTTATCAATCACTCCCCAGTTATATGTATTCGAATGTATCTTTGAAACCGGTTACTCCGACTCGAGATGAACCTAATTGTCACGCACGCTATCTCACTGTTTTATGATTTATCCTTCCTCTCCTTCCCTTTTGCTCCGCTTATGCATCCCCTCTTTATGTCAGGCGTGTTTTGGCATCTCTTCCGCCATCGTTTTTTATTTGCTTCCTCTGGCCATCGTTTTCATCGCTGTGTATTTGAGAATCTCTTGTCTTTTCTACTATTGATATGTGAATTCCTTTTTTAATAGATTTGCTATCAATTTCACTCCGCTCGCGTCCTTGCACTTGTTGTTGATGATGCTGTCATATCTGTAGAAAATGACATGCTTCTATTCCGTGTTCTAATGCGCTCCAAAGGCGCATTTGCTGTTTCCGCGAGTTCCGGATTCGCCGTGTGTAACATCCAGGTTTCCGTTTTGAGCTGAGCTCGACACGATTAATACAAATAAACCTAAAGGCCAATTAGACCGAAAACGTGCAAATGAGATCTGCTTCCATTTGTACGGTTCGTCGCTAGATGTGCTTGGAATCTGTACTACTCCGCACTGAATGATGATTTTATTCATTAATCGAATCTTTTATTTTTAATCCGACCAGTATGATCTAAACTTTCGAGTATTTTTATGCTTCCTTGTCTCGTCGCTTTGGAGCGTCCTGGAATACTCACTTAATGAAAGTCATTGGAAATACCAGACTTGATTTGGCAACTCTGAATTAATCAACTTCGTCTGAAGTTAACTGGATCTCACAGCTGCTTCTTATTCTATCAGTGACATTAGTCTTAGAGGAGGCAGACCATGCATTTGCTTCAAGGGTCGGGTGAACCTGTGGATCAGTCGTAAACAACTAACCACGTCGGCTCTTTAAAACGTTTTCTCAGTAAATCGCTGAATACTGTATTGTAAAAATCGTTCAATATGTGTATTATGAAATAATAGAGTTGGAATGTGCCATATTCAAGGTTCTCACTTCATCCCACATTTACTTGGAACAGAATCACAACAGTTAAATGCGGTTTCATTCTTCCCTCTGTCGTCCGCCAATGTCTTTGCGTGTTAAGAAAGCAGTGGGGAAATTCGCAAACTCAACTAATTTTGTCAGAGCAATCTTCACTCATGTGGCCACTGCTAGTCGAAACGATACTGGACAGTGCAGATAGAAATTGGGTATTGCCCGCCCGAAAACACGGTACTTCATGGCGTGCTTCGATTTTCTCTGATCTCATCAGGTAGAGATAGTAGACATCGAACTTGGGACCATTGGAATGTTAGCCGAAACCTCTTCCCCTTCGGCCACCAGGTCACGACGGACAACGCTTGGCTCAACGGTTAATGATTGATATTGAGGGATTTTTAAGTACACGTTGTGTGAATGGATTGCGACGCGCACTCTCAGTGTGGACAGAGGTTCCCATTGAAATGAACCTAGGTCAATTCACTCACTAGGACCGTAACTCACATAGCAGATGATTGTTGGGTGTTGCTCGCTCGAACACAGCACAATCCACGCATAATCCCCAACCTGTTTATACTCACTCAATTTCCATCGGTTTTACTTATTGGCTAATTGATCGAATGGACCAAAGTTCACTTTGGTGCGAATCTGGGTCCATATTGAGATTTGACGTCACAATGCATATGCAAGCGGGGTGCTCTAGAATTGCTCTCCCATCAGCACTAGGCGGTCTTTCTCCTATTGAAACTATGGACAGGAGCATGCATCTCCCCCGAACTCAATTCAACTGGAGTACATAAGTGATTTGAGCTGATGCTTCGCCGTCGTGCAGCCATGATGATCTCTTGGGAATGAGGCGTAATAACAGAAGCGAATCTGTGGCTTACAGAGACGCAAAGCGCTTGTATACATAATTGCCAGCGTGACTACGTGCAGGGCTATCGCTCGCCACCAACTTAGTGCCCCTTCCTCACCAGGATAACAGCCTCCTGAACAAGGAAACTATGAATAATGCAGAATGTTGATGGTGGAACGTTGAAAGCAAACTCTTCTGTTTATTAATCAAAACGAGTAAAAATATGCCGTTCATACATAGGTCTTGAAAACTGTAGACAACGCGCTTCCTTAATCGACTTGCCGTAAATTAATGTGCTATGTGGAAAAAGATCAATACTTTTGCACATTCATATAACTCATGCTCAATATTAAAAAATATTCCGATGATTGTCCATCATTCAGTCAAGACTGGTAAATATGTTCCATCAAAGTAAATTAAAATGCAGTGGATCCGGAAAATGTTCAATGGAAAGCAGGGAGCAACGCTTAGAGTTTTTCTTGATGCAACTCCACGCGCTGACTGATTCCGTAGTGGCAGTGACAATAGCCCTCGTTTGTGAAGACCACAGCTCCCGGCTGGTTGGGCACCGGATGGAACCCGTGTTCTGTAGTGAGCGCCTTGGATAGATCGTTGACAACCAAAGTGTATATCACTGATCCATCACGCTTGTCCCTTAGCCGTATGGTAACCACACCTTCGAAGATAGTTTCCACTCTGAATTTGCCATCATATTCATCTTCAGCGATGACCAGATCGGCTTTAGTACGGTAGCCAGGAGGAACGACCACCTATATAATTCAAAAAAGAAACTATCCTCATTAAGTAGATTTTATGTAAATTTATGCACAACAGTGCAGGAGTCAAGTTGCCATTGAACAATACTTCTCTTTGTAGCCATGATGTGTTATCTGATCGAAGTGGGTGAGTCGTGGCAGAAACAGCATGTGGTTTTAGTCGTTCTATTCCTTAGATGTATAATGAATCTCGAATGTATACGAAGCTAGTCACTGGTTATACCATCGGTACTCAACTCGCACAATCTGATACCTAGATGACTACTGTAGTACAGATTCGTAGCAAAGACAACATACGATAACATTGCAGCTTCCGCATTTACATTTTTCCATCGATAGTTCACCAGCTTTGAGATAGATCATCTCGGGACATGTACTCAATATCATTTGGATTGTTGCACTTACACTTCACTGCAAGCAATGTTTATAATTGAATCCCAATTGAGATCGTTTACTAAAAGATGAAATTTTTGGGCTGCTGATTCTGTGGTTTTGTGCTTCACGCCTAGGTTTAATTAGTGGCTGAATTGGATTGGCAGAATCTGTGTTTCCATGCCCAGTCCAAACGAGTTCGAATCAGTCGCCGTTTCAAGCTTACGAACTTCACCATTTCTGACGCGCTTGTCATGCGAATTGATTTATTGAAATCAGCTGCAGTAAATGTGATTCCTTCGTTACATGTAAGTTGGATACTAATGCTATGGTATTGAGCGTTCATGTCAGCAGCTCCCAAGTCAGACTAAATGCCACCAACCCCGAGAATCCCTAGACGGCTTATCGACCTAGTTGGAATCACTTGTTGTATGCTTGCCCCGGCTCCATCAGTAACCTAACCCATTTCACCTAGTAGAGGGCGTAACTACCCAGAAGACAATGGGGACAGTGATGGACCGTTGCAACTTAAAAGCTACCTGCGACAAAGCGAGACGCATCCTCTACTGACAAGTAGTTATTACTTCCATTAACAGCATCTGTTGAAACCTCAATGCCCTATCTTGTGATATGTTAGTCGGTCTCAATGATCCCCATGATGTGTTTCGCACTACCTTTTTCTTTGTCCCGAGTCGAACTTTGTTTTCCCTGGCTCTCAGTTCAGTTTAGGCAATTCGATGTCAAATAATACCGCGCTTTAGTGCCGGCATTTTTGTTGCCTTTATTCCATTCGTACGGGTTAGTTCAAGCATTTTGTCGCTTACATCACCTGTCAACAACATAGCAGTTGGAGGCTGTTAGGGCGAATGATTTGATTGCTTTGAGTAGTGGGTTTTGAGGATAGTGTATTGGGAGATACTAGGTTGTGGTAAAGCGGCAGACAGCCATTTCGTCCCGTATTCAACTCGTCGTGCGCTTATGTAGAAAACGATACTACTATCCAATTTTAGTAGTATAATATTTTATTAGTTTTTAAGTGTTGCACCCTATTTTGCCTCATCATCAATTCCGTTAATGAGGCGACTGGTGCTCGTTTATTTGTACTATATTTAAAAAGACTGCCACTTATTGGATAGTTTGAAATTAAGTGTTTCCAGAGGGCTTTATTTCTTGTGCTAGATTCACCAAGATCATAACTCATTCCTCTTGGTTGACATTTGTGGAATTTACTCCACCTAGTGAGTCGTGTTGCACAATGTTGGATCCAATGTATTAGGTACATGACATGTCTTTCTACTCACAGCACTGGTGTTTTGATGCGCAAATCTTTGTCTTAGATCTCGTTTGTTCGTTCTCTTGTTCTGCTGCAAAATTTTCCTACAAGATCGGATACATCTCAAGTGCATTTCGTTCGCTACGAGCCCAATTAATTACTCATGCTCGTGACAGCGTAAATACCCAGGAAAGACTGTACGCTAGGGAGCATTTGCTTAAACATCAGGTGGGAAATTGTAGTACTTTCTTCGGCATTATCGATTAGACGGATCCATACCAGACTAACACCTCACCACATTGTTTACGTTTTTACATGAGCTTATCAGCTTGTTATAAGCTTGATAGCCTCAGGACGAATTTGGTACAGTCGCTTAAGCTAGTGGCAGCTAAGGCACGGTTTAACACACGCCAGTCAGCGTTTCTATGGCCAAGGACAGTTTGCGTTCGCAGCGACGATGCTATCCGTGTTGTGAGCGCTATCAGCGCCACGTGACAAGCATGTTTCGCACAGTGGCTTACCAAAATGGCTGGATCGTATAAACAACCGCAAAAACATGCTTCGGGTGAAACCACAAGTCTGTCCAACCGGTTCTGTGAACTTTGTCGACGCACAGACTCGCTCGATTACTGAATGTGTTTGTAGCCGCGGAATTCGACCCGACACGAATACAGTCGCTAAGCTCAGTTATGTAGTGCACATATAACTGACTTGTTAAGTGGCAAAAGTTACGTGGTGCAATTCGGCATTTGCTGTGACCAGATGGTGCTGGAATGAAAAGCTGGCGTGCTACACCTGCGTATTCGCCATGATCATGCGGTGTAGTATGCAAACCGCGCATCGATTGCCGGAGCGAGATACTTAATTAGGCGAGGAACACGCGTCAGGTAGTAGTTGCGGATAATACGGTTCATAGTAAGGAAAGCTTGCGTTTTTACCAATTGGATCATGCTAAGGTTGCGTACTGTTTCCATTTACAGTAATGTCCGGCAATTTCTATGCCCGTGAACCATATCATGGGACGATACGCTTGAGTCCGGACTCGAATTCACCAGCCGACGCTGCGGCGCAAAATACCCTTATACTACTGGCCGCGATGTTCCCCTAGAAAGTTCCACGCCGATGTCAATGTTAGGTTTATGGAATGAATTTAACAGCTTCATATATAAACTTGCTATACTTATGTAGTTCCAACCTGTCTGTTTGCAGAAATATACGCATTTTTTTCCTGGCAAATGTTCCACTTAGCTGTTACCCATTAGGACTCAAATGGTCCAGCGCAAATGTGTTGCTTATTCACTCTTGGGATAGACTTGACCTTCTTCCGGCCCACAGATCTCATGGCACGCTCACTTCCAGATATATGCATCCTAGAGGCACACGTCAGCGCCCGGATTTATGCCACATAACTTTGCAGAGGTCTTATCCACACCCATCTGCCTACCTTCCTGTCTATTGACCCATTTGCCTATATATTTGCCTATATATATATATATATATATATATATATATATATATATATATATATGTAATTCTGTACGTTTTTATTTTTCTCTAAGTCTTACCATGGAGGAATAAACAATATTTCATTTATATTCGCATGTATATTACGTCCATTCGATGGTTAACTTTTGTTGTCGCGTATCACGTTTTTCCTTTCCTTCTTCTGAAAGCTCCTGAACCACACCCAGCACTGAGGCATCAGGTCGAACTTACCCAGCTAATAGAAGATTGTGTCCACTGTCAGCTTGCTCCAACTAGCTAGCAGCTTATACATTGGGTCGTAGGGGACGAAGGCAGATTGTCTGTACTTGCAAGCTAACGGGGATATAGCGCAACCTATTTTTCATTGCCATGCAGTTTCTACTATTGCAGAGCTGGCCTCCGACGTTAAGACTTCCACTGCACAGTAGCTATGTCCGCATAGCGTTTGGAGGTCGTGATGGCAAATGTTTTGGCTACTTGCAAGTTCACACGTTCTACCGTCCTTCATGGGTCAGTGGATTAAGCTGCTAGCAGCCATGGGTTCAATCTACAACAGGGGCCGAGGTAATGCGCGCAATTGATTAGCTTCAATGTGGTGAAGCAATCGTCAGGTGCTTTTCCTGATTGCGGTTACGCTAATCTGGCTTGTGAGTAGCTGTGATAAACCAGTAAACGCATCAAAAATCCTCATACTCATGTTACATAAACTATTCTCACCGTCACATTTTGTCTGTTCGTTTTAAGCCTGAGTATGTGGCACACCTCATGGGCAGACGACTAGTAGCTATCGGTGCCTTATTTGTACATAATCCCCACCATAATGGATAATTGACTCAATACGGAGGCTGCTGTCAGTCCTTGGCGCGGTACTTTTGTGTGCGATTTGCATTGCCGCACAAGTTTTCGAAATTGTAAACCTGTTCACACAAAAGATATCATGCTCTATAAGTAATCCATTAACTCCGGGATGTAACACTTTTCCACAAATAACCAATGGCCTTAGGCACGACAGAAGAGACAAATGATGCTCCGTTTTTTTTAATCCGGCGAACATTCAAATTGCAACCGTTTTAAACGAGCATGACGCACGTGTAGGTCTGGTAAACATCTTGTTTGCCAACAACGGATATATCCCGCTTCTTGGGCGCTTAATTAGTGAAGCGAACTCGAGCGGAGTGGCGCACTTGTGGATTACCCGTACTGCCTGAATTTACGCCAGATTCTCTTCTCTGACTGCGTCGGGGACTTAGGTGCAAGTTTCACTGGTTCGTGTTATCATCAGTTCCTTAACCAGCAGGGAAACATTGCGGGTACCACTTGAACAGCCAGTTATTCGCTTGCGCTGTAGTGGGGCCAAATGGTATTCCGGATGACTCCTGAAGTAACAGCTTCCACGCATTAGGTTATCCATATGTTTAGGAGGCGTATGTTTCGCTAGCTTAAGTCTGTATTAAAGGGTGTGGTGTTTCGGATGTGTCACATGCTGAGGTTGATGTTGCACACATCATGCGTCTTCACCGTATCTGGGCCACACCGACTTACACGTAAAATACATCTTTCTAATCTGGATAAAATATATTCCACTTTATTTGGTTTACTTACTTTTGTTATTCTATTGTATATTCTTTATCAACTTTGCGTGTGTATTTTTCTTCAAATTCTTGCTGATAGTTTGACATCGCCGGTGTGGTTACGCTTGATGTGAATGTCGACAAGACGCCTACCAGTCTAGCACCTACCTCGATTACACTAGCTCCAGTTAGCTTGCAAATTATGTAACCCAGCCAACGTCCCCTATGGATCAGTGGCTTAAGCTACTGGTTAGTTGGCATCTGCCTCCATCGGTCATGGGTTCGATCCCCAA